AATAACGACTTAGTATCTCAGAATAACGACTTAGTATCTCAGAATAATGACTTAGTATCTCAGAATAATGCCTTGAAGTTTCTTACAGGATCTCTTTTCGTCACGTTGTCAGAAATGCTCTTGCATAGTTCAGAGCTGAGACATAAAGATCATTTCTACTACAGGCCATTATACTTCTGCAGTTGCCAAGGGTTACAAGGACAGATTGTAGCTCAGCTATTATGAAAATATAGAAATTATGATGAAATATGCCTCATGCAAGGACGTGTTACACAAAAGGCTGATTCCTCTGTGAGATTCTTTGACAATACATCCACCTGAGAGGTGTGGCTTATCAAGATGCTGATTTAACAAAATGATTGTTACACAAACAAAGAAGTTCTGATCAAACGTAAACAACTTTAGTGGAAAATAATCATCTTCAACAGCACTTCTACACTTAACTGAATCAACATGTTGAATTCAGGACTTTTTCCTATTCTCTGGTATTTCTACTTTAATTCAAGTAAAAGATCTGAACACTTCTTCCTCCACTGCTGGTTTTCAAGCTAAAAGAAGAGACGGATTAAACGCCAGCAGGTTTTTAAATGACAGAAACATCCGTCTCCCCTCACAGAGAGCGAGCTGGCCATGCAGCTGGAGTGCTGCCAGACGGAGGTCGAATTCGTCCGCAGACGCCTCAAACAGACGGAGGACAGACTGGAGACGGAGAGACAGAGCCGACAGCAGCTCGACGCCAAGGTGAGGCGGGACGCTGTGACGACGTGCACGGCAACGCTGATGAGAGATTAAATGTGTGAAGGTAGTAATTCTGTGTGTGTGTGTGTGTGTGTGTGTGTGTGTGTGTAGGTGGCCGCTCTGCAGGCCCAGCTGGAGCAGTCCAGGCGGAGTGCGACGGAACTGAAGCGTCACTGTCGCCGTGTGACCTCTGACCTCCAGGACGCCCGAGTCCTCACCGACAGCCTGCAGAGCCGCATGCACGAGGTGGACCGCAAACAGAGGAGGTGTGTGTGTGTCCAGCTGCTCCACTTAACATTATATTTACATTATATACAATTATACAATAACCTTGATATTAGTGAGACGAAGGAGCGAGTTATGGACATTTGAATCAGAAATCAGCAGATTGAAACATTTTCCTCTCAAACATCTGGAGGTAAAATGTGAACGCTGTGTATAGACGGACTCATACACTCGACCAGCTCCGACATTAAAGTGTTTACTTCTTTACCCGCTGAATGAAAGCAGCTCTGCAGCGTTTTAAAGCATCTTTGTGCGGTTTCTCTCTCAGGTTTGACAGCGAGCTGACTCAGGCTCTGGAGGAAGCCGACACTGAGAGAGAGCAGAAGGACAAAGCCTGTCAGGAAAGCACAGCCCTGGGAGCTGAGATATACGGCCTGCGCCGCAACCTACAGGTGTGTGTGTGTGTGTGTGTGTGTGTTCACCTGTGAACTAAAACCAGGAAGAAAAGCTGACTGATGAACAACCAGCAACGTCACGGATTCTCAGTTTGTTTTGATGAGTCATGAAGCAGAGATGATGATGTAACAGTGCTCTTTATGGTAAAGAGAGCACGTATTCTATTGAGTGATTACAGATGTCACATGTGATTCATGAAGCGCAGTCACACGAGTGAAAAGATGCAAATGACATCACAGATTAAGGAGTCAGAGACGCATGGAGTCAACGTTTATATTTGACGTATGGCAGACCGTAAATGTTAATAAAAAGTTTAATGTCGTTAAATCCTTCATGAAATACAGAAGAAAGCCGACGTCTCGCTGCAGAAACAAGATGAAAACAGAACGGCAGTGATGAAATATACAGGATATTAATGCACAATAATGTCAGATTCAAGGAAGAGTAAATCATAAACATTAAGATGAAAGAAACAAAACAAAACACACAATACTCACTCTCAGATAGTCTGATGTTGAAGTAAAAGTTTAAAGTTCTGCATTTACTGGAGTAAAAGTACACCATTATTAGCATCAGAACATACTTAAAGTACCTAAAGTAAAAGTGGTGTGTGTGTGTGTGTGTGTGTGTGTGTGTGTGTGTGCAGGAGAGCCAGGCGGAGGTGGACCGTCTGCAGAAGCAGAAGGACGAGCTGTGCGCTCAGATCCGTGACCTCAGCCTGCCGGTCGACCTCGCCTCCGATTCGCTGCCCGACCTCAAGAAGCAGCTCCGCCTCCTGGAGGGTCAGAGCGGCGAGAGGGCGCAGGAAGTCTCCGAGCTCACCGCCAAAATACAGCAGCAGCAACAGGTGCTTCACACAGCGAAGACGCATTCAAATATTGAGTTTTGACTCGCTGCCGTCGCTCATCTCTCGCTCCTCCTCCTCCTCTTCTTCCACTTCTTCCTCTTCTTCTTCTTCTTCTCTCTCATAGGTCCACATGCGCTTTGAGATGGAGATGGAGAGGATGAAGCAGATGCACCAGAAAGAGTTGGAGGACAAAGAAGAGGAGTTGGAGGACGTGCACAAGTCCTCTCAGAGACGGGTACGTCATTCACATCTCAAGGCCCAACAGAGGCAGTGCATTCACTCAAGTACAAATGTGAGGTACTTGTCCTTCAGTACTGTCCTCTCATGTCACTTTCTACTTTCTACATTTATCCGACAGCTTAAATACACATTTCTTGCACACAAAACTGATCAGAAAATTAATTATTGTTAATGCAAAAAAAATCCAAATATCTTTTGGTTCCAGTCTGATAAATGTGAAGATTTGATGCTTTTCTTTTCAATAGTTTAATAATTGTAATGTATATTTAATCATTTGGAGGTTTTGACTGTACTGTTCACAGTTCTACAGTTTGTCTGCTGCCAAACTCCAGCGTATACTAGTTTATTACAAAAGAATTGTGGTGGTGTTATTACAAGTTACATTTATTCAGTGAGTACATGTACTTATCACGCCACAATTCAATAACATTGCACCTTAAATCTGGTTTTATTGTAAATATACAGAAAGTTAATGAATTACTCAAATAAATAACCTCCAGTGTTATTGATATTCTCTTGAGTGCACAATAAACTAAACTGAATAAAGTCAGAGCTATCCGTTTCTTACTAATGGACCCTGAAGCAACAAAGTGGAGATTTGTTATAATTCAAACTCCAACCGAGGACGTGAGTTTGAACTTTTCACCGTCAGTATTGAGACCTCTGCAGGCTTCACATACGTGTTCACAATAACCTGAAACATTCTCCGAACATCACAAGAGAATAAAATCATGTTCAGCAGGAATTCTGCACCGTCACTGAACTCAAAAGCAGGAGTTGTCGATAGAGCACTGAATGGAGCAGTGTTGTGCTGTTTGTGTGCAGATGGATCTTTTTCAAAGTTCTTCCTCGAATGAAAGAAGGAAACAAATTCTTTTCACAGAATGATTTTTCTATTATGCAACCAGAGAGAGTTACATCACTTCTCTGCAGTCACACAAACGTTCTACAGGTTTCCTTTGTAGTTGTTTTGTGTCTCTTTGTAGTTGTTTTGTGTCTCTTTGTAGTTGTTTTGTGTCTCTTTGTAGTTGTTTTGTGTCTCTTTGTAGTTGTTTTGTGTCTCTTTGTGGTCATTATTAATCTCTTCCTGGTTGGTTTGTCTCTTTGAGGGATATTTTGATATTTTAGACACTTTGTGCCCGTTCAGTGATCCGTGTACTAAAGTACTTAAGTACACAGTTATCTTTGACTGTTAATGTTAAAACATTTCATGTTTCCAGCTTCACAAACATGAAGATTTCCTCTGAATATTTTATATTATATTTTCTACTTTACATACTGTCAACTAGCTTGTTCATTTCCCCAAGGTTTCAATAAAGTTTCATCTTTTTAAATAATAATATATCATCATTTATTTGTTGATTATATTTTGTGTTCATAACCTGAATCTGCAAAATAACAGATATCAAATACATGACGTGGAGTAAAAAGTACTGTATTTGTCTCTGAGGTGTAGCAGAGTAGAAGTATAAAGTACTTGAGTAAATATAGTTTCTTCCCTCCGGCAGCAGCTTCAAACCACCAAACTCTGCTTGATTTATTCAGCAGCAGATTGTCCGGAGGCCTCGGTTTATTGTTTTTATGCTCTTCAACAGACGATGATTGTTTTCCTGCTTATCATTATGCAACCTGCTGCAGGGAATGTTTCCTGTCGGGAGCGATAAAAGATCATTCCGACCACTCGTCCATCGATGTATTTTATCTGTTGGTGTCGGTTTGTGCAGCTGAGGCAGTTGGAGATGCAGTTGGAGCAAGAGTACGAGGAGAAACAGATGGTGATTCATGAGAAGCACGACTTGGAAGGACTCATAGCAACTCTGTGTGACCAGGTACACACACACACACACACTGTGTCACTGCACATCCTCATGTTGTGTTGTTATTCCTGCAGGCTCTGAGTGGACGAGCTCTCTCACGTCGTACATCATTGTTGTCATTGTTGTGGGTTAATGTTCTCGAGCTGATGAGGGTGCCGTTCCACAAAACAAGCATATGCTGCAAGGAGGCGGCGGCTAATTTAACACTCTGTCTCCGTCACTCCCAGGATGTAATTGGACTCCTGACAAGTGGCCAGGACCTGGTCTGTAGCGGGCCAACAGCTCAAGTCTTCTCAAGGCTTTCAGAGTGAAGAATGTGACATGAAACTACTTTAGGCTTAATCTCTTTTAGAGTATGAGGTTCTTCTCCACAGTCCATGTTCTGCTGTGGACGTATTCTAGACTCCTGAAAGAATCTCTGTCAGTTTAAGTGAACGTTATATTTAGAATGTTTTCACCTCTTTACCTTGCTGTCAGACACTGAAGCTGTTATCTCTGATCTCTACAAACACACCAGACTCCATTCACTAAACACTGATTCTACCTCTCAGGACACAGGAGCTGCTGCTCTACTTGGCTTCCCTTTTTATTTCTCTCTCGTCCATCTACTGCAGTGAAACTGACTGTGGAGAAGAACCTCATACAAACACACTTCTAAACATGCAAACTGTCTCTTTAAGTCTGAGGCGTGTCGTCCTGCAGGTCGGCCACAGGGACTTCGATGTGGAGAAGAAGCTGAAGAGAGACCTGAAGAGGACTCACGCCCTGCTGGCCGACGCCCAGCTGCTGCTCTCCACCGTGGACAACCCGGGGCAGCACCTCCCCAACGGCAGCAAGGAGCAGATCGAGCGCCTGCACTGCCAGGTACGCTCACCTGTCCTACGCGTTCACCTGACTCCAGTTTGAAGTGCATTCATGCACCTAACTCGCTCTCTTTATGTCGCCAATTAGCTGGAGGAGAGCGAAGCGAGGCGGCTGGAGGCGGAGAGCGTTCAGGGGACTCTCTCTCAGGAGCTGGAGAACGCTCAGATTGAGCTGGAAAATATCTGCAAGCAGAAGAGTTTGGTGAGCGTGCCGACAGGTGTTTGATTAAAGGAATATACCCGAGTCAATGAGTGGGGAAACAGGACCAATGCAGATGCTTCCAGAAAGGGTTCAGAGGTCGGTTAGATGAAAATCATAGTGAGAAGGACCTTGAATTATTTCTGTAACTCTTGAAACAGACAAAGGGAGAAAGTTCAAACTCCTCTCAACTCTCTTATTTCATTCCTCACACAAGTGTTTGTCAGTTTTCCACATGAATAAAAGAGTGAAACTCTATGAACGTCTTCCATGAGAGTGGGCGCCGTTATCATCACATTTAAACAGTAGCATGGGTGATGAATTACATCATCATGCCTTTCATTAGTCTGACAGAGGAATGAGAGATGTGGCCTGAATATTTTACGTGGATTCTCTTGACTCGTAGATTCAACTGAGATAATGTTTAAGAAGGAGCGCAGTCGTCTAATACATACAAGTTAGAGAGTTACTGTAAATATGCTGCATATGTGCAAGTATATACTAATATATGCACACCCAACCCACCTGACCTGTCTCACCTGTGCGTCCAGGCGGACGCGCAGTTGTCCCTGCTGCAGCACAAGAAGGTGGACCTGCTGAAGAGGCTCGAGGAGGACCAGGAGGACCTCAATGAGCTCATGAAGAAGCACAAGGCGCTCATTGCTCAGGTGCTGCTCACAGTTTTTATCTTCCTGCCTTCATTCAATCACTTTGTTTTTTATATCCCCGATACAAATGTCTCGCTCTTCCTCTGTGTTTAGTCGTCCAGTGACATCACGCAGATCAGAGAGCTGCAAGCTGAGCTGGAGGAGGTGAAGAAGCAGAGGCAGTCTCTGCAGGAGGAGGTGAGCTTTATATGGATCATTAAACCTCCTTGTTACAGGTCTTAATGTTGCACTGGCTTCCACATTCACTCATGCATCAATACATTAATATTTGCTCTCTAACTGTTGTTTCCCCCCCCCCCCCGCCCACTCGTGATGCAGCTCCAACAGAGCGTGTCGAGGGTGCAGTTCCTGGAGGCGTCCACCGTGGGGCGCAGCATCGTCAGCAAACAGGAGGCGCGTGTGTGTGACCTGGAAAATAAACTGGAGTTTCAGAGAGGGCAAGTCAAGAGGTTTGAGGTGAGCCCCCCCCCCCCTTCAACACATAACAACATGGGGCTTTATTTAAAGAGAAACTAAAACCCTCAAAACCACAAAAAAGCAGCCACAACGAAGCTTCAAATTGTGACATTTCATCAAAAACATTGTTTTATTCTGCATGTCTCTGCTTGGGGGGGTTCAGACGTCTCTAAATGTCGCCCCACTTCCATGCTGTGCAGGTGCTGGTGCTGCGTTTGAGGGACAGCGTGGTCCGTCTGGGAGAAGAGCTGGAGCAGAGCGCCCAGGCCGAGGCTCGGGAGCGAGAGAACGCCCGCTACTACCAGCAGCGCCTGCAGGACATGAGGCTGGAGATGGAGGAGCTGGTCCAGGGAGAGCAGGACAGCAGCCGCAGGCGCATGGAGCTGGTAAACTATTCAACCTGTTTTCTACCTAGCAACCAAAATCCTACCATTAATGTTGTCAGTGTGTGCGCCCGTATTCTCCCAAACATCAACTTTTCACAACAGTCTAATAGTCTTTGTACACGGTGATTGACAGGTCTCTACCAGAGACGTATACGGCGTCTCTTCGTCACTCCTCCTCAGTCCAGATATGGTCACTTCCTGTTCACTGGTTGCAAAAAACAAGATGGCGACGGAGAAATCACAGAACTCGAGGCTTCAAAACGTCCACAAACCAATGTCTCGATGACTACGTCCGACCTTTTATGTCACACTCTTGTCATGTTTTAAATAAAAAGGAAATAAAAACAACAATCCCGTCACATGAAGAAGCCTCTTGCCCAGAGATGGAGATACTTGTGGGGACACGTTTCTTTGGCGCTCCTGCAGACCGATCACCAGCGCTGCTGAATATGAACCCACATCACTCTCATGCAAGCTGGGAGACGACCTTCTTTAAACAGCCCATGAGGAACACTTCCTCCAGGCGAAGCAGTGAAAGTACGCCTCACGTCTCTGTTCTCAAAAACAACAGCTGGTGTATTATCTGGAACATTAGAAAACATCAC